CCTCCCCCCCCCCCCCATTACATAAGGGAATAAAAGAGCTGCATAAGCCACACCTTAGCCAACATAAAGAACATAGGCTTCCCAAGCATAATGCCTACAGGCTACATTATATTTCTATTTCATGCTAGAGGTTTAAAATGTATATGACATTTCTTTAAGGGAGAAGTCAATTCGGCTGAAAGCGAAAAGCATTTTGTTAAAAGTTTTGTATGTATCAGTGAACAGACCTTGGAAATACACATATTCAAGTACAGATGCCTGTTTGAAAATTGGACCCACAGTTCCAAGTAAATTAAATATTCCAGAAAGAAAGCTATGTGATTTCTGAAGACTACATGGATAATAAAGGCATCTAAGTCTTATTATGCTTCAAACTTTTCACAGTAGGCCCAAAATACTCACCAGTTTTCTTACTTTTTTTCTTTGCAAAACACTCAAATAACGTATGTCTCAGAATGAATTTCCATAGAAAACCTAAGAAAGAGGAATCGGGAATTAATAAAGAGCAAAATGAGAAATATCTTTTTTGCCACCATATAAATGACTCATCCACACCCTAAATACTATGTGCACTTCTGGTCCCCTCGTCTTAAGAAAGGTATGTTAGAACAGGCAAATATTCTGAAAAAGGTAACTAGGTAGATTAATGATTTGTAAGAGCCTTCATATACAAACTTACTAGGCAGGCTGGGAATCTTCAGAATAGAAAGAGGAGAAGGCTGCAAAATCATTAGTGACATAAGGGAGTTAGATAACGAATGACTGTTTGCTGTCTCTTTCAACACAAGAACCAGGCATACACAAGAAGATATGAGAAGCCAGGTTCAAAAGTGTAGATTTTCTTCAAGCAACAGGCAGGGGTGAAACCGATTTTTAAAGGGTATCATGGATGCAAGAACCTTCTGTGAGTTTGTGACAAGTGTGAACAAGTACCTAGAAAATAAATCCTTTAGGGTTCCTCTACAGACAAATCAGCACAGGTTCAGGAAATCTCCTCAACTGAAAATCGCTGAAACACAGGAGAGTACGTGGCAGCATTATCGTACATTGTGAGGTACAAAGTAGGGATCCTGTGCTGCTGGGAGTTCTGCCTACTGCTGAAAATATGCTCCTCCTTCTCTCCTGTCAGCTTGGTAAGGACAATCTTTTTTCCTCAGTACCAAATGTATCTAACACTGGCCCACAACCTTGGATGGCAAAACAATTTTATGGCAGCTTTCGATATTGCTGTTTTGCCATCCAGGAATGATGGCAGATTTGTCTGTAATGCTCCACTTTGGGAGACAGGATGTTGGATTAAATAGACCCATGGGTTGTAGGGCCATTCTTATTTTCGAAGAAAACTAAATCCTGTGTCACTTTGCCCAAAAAAAAAGTACAAACAAAAAATGCTATATTAGCACAAGGGCATTAATTAATAAACTCCAAATCAAGACTTAGGATAATAGTTGTAACAGTAAGTTAATGACTGATATTTGGTACACTCTTCATGTACCTATTGTTGATACATGAAATCAGATCTCTACGGGTCAAGTATACTGCAAAAGAACCTTTTCTTCCAGGCCAATCACTGGGAAAAATGCCATATGTCATTAAGTTGAAGTGATATTTGTATTCTTTTACAGGACTGACTGACTGTGCTCTTAGGTATCTTTTACTGAGATGCAGCATAAGAATATTGAATGCTGAAAAACAATAAGGTTGGAGGAATACAATCGCCAAGTAAAACAAAACAGAATTAAATGTAAATTTCCACTGTAGAGCTCCCATGTGTTGGTATATGAGCCTTCAGAGAGGAGTAGGCAGGTTAGGTCTAACAGAGACTTGTTTTCTTTGGCCTGTAAACAGCTAATCATTTTTTAACTTGGCTCTTGTTTCAGATATCACATTCTATATGACTGACCTTTTGTTCCCCTCTTTTAAGTCTTTTGAGTTTCTTTAATATACAACAAGGTCTTTTAATTCAATATCAGTTTTTTGCTTAGAGTAAGAAGGCAATCTACTGTGTAGTATATGAAAGGGAAGCCAAATATTTTTGGTGACAACTCAACACCTAAGGTTTCAAATCTACCCTACCCTAATGTTGGTTACCCTATCCTGTCTCCCTCAAGCCATATGGATTTTTGATTACAGTGCAACCACAGACTTGCATAATAAATCAGTCACTACAGTAAAACAGCAGTAATGACACATTCAGAAGTGTAACTTGTGGCATTCAGCCATCATTTAGGGGTCTATGGGGAGCTGCAGTACCCCAGGGAGGGAGGGTGGAGCAGACACCATCTCTTCCAGAGCAGCCACGCAGGACTGAGGACAGTGAAGCTTGCACGCTCTGTTTTAAGTTAAGCTGACTGTCAACTTGTTAACTGGCATCACTGCAAAAACTGATTTAGAGGCACTCAGCAAAATGGCTGTTCAGGTGCAAACTCTCATGATTTACTGCAGGCTGAGCGTACAAGCTCCAGCTGTGATAGACTCTTGCAAACTCCTCCAAAGTGCTGGATTATGTTGAGAATCTGGTTCTCCTTACCTTTTCCCAGCACTGTGCATTTTTCAGCATGCCAGTCTTCTGAGGGGCTTCACTGGGATATGTCTCCAGTGCCAGCTATGAAAAGAAGGTGCCAATCATTTTACAATTTGCTTTTCAAATGGCAATTACCCTTTGATTCTTTTGGGCCCCGAGTTTGCAGACTCCTGGCACCAGTACAGATTCGGGCTGGAGGCAGGCCACTGTCCTAACAGCACTGCTCACTGGGGAGATCATTTGTGCAGACCAACGGTATTATTTTCCAGATTTCATTTCTAATAGCCACCCACTAAACAAAAATTAATACATCCACACAGAAATACCTGATTCATTTGTATAACACCTTCACCACTCCATCCAGGTTCCATATGGTATTCCAATGACTGGTCTGGATTTGTAGGCTACTACCTAATAGCTTCGCATCTACCACACCTATAAAAACCAGTAACGTGGCTGGAACTAAGCATCTCATATAAGCAGATTGATTAATTCAGACAAAGCACTGTGAGTGTCTAAAATGCAACACAAACATCATATTTTGTTTACAGCTATGTGCCTGTTGTAAAGGCAGATGCTGAAATACCTCAGATATGTCATAGTTAAATATGCTAACACTACTGGACTGTTGCATAATAGGTCAAGAGATGCCACAACATTTCTTGAGACACATCATTAAATGGTAAGGTTTTAGTCAATCATATAATGGGAAGGAATAAGAATATGCAGAAAACTTAAAAAAAAATCAGCATTGCAGTTTTAGGAGAAATCAACTAAGTTACACATTTCATAAGTAAACAACTGTTATGATTTACAAGTGTACAGTAGAAACCAAGATATTTAAAAATTAAAAGAGCAGTTAAAACTTCTCAGACTATATTTAGTGTTAATAAAAATTGCTACAGTTCACAGACCTGTTTCTTCCATCAGTTAAATTCATATTACTTTCAAAGAATGACTCCCTTTTCTAAGTTTTAATAACCCTGGTTCTCTACTAACTGAACTTCCATTGAAACAGAGCAGTCTCTAAAAAGTAGACTGGCACAGATACTTACTTGCATTAAAATTTTCATTTTCCCACTTTGCTTCTTTACACACAGGCTTCTCTTGATTCATTTTTTATTTCACTCTTACTTGGCTCTGTCTACATTTGGGTTTTTTTCCTTTTTTTTTGGCATCTCTCTGGAACATAATGAAAATATGCTGCATTAAAGCCGACTTGGAAATAGCATAACAGGATTGCTCATCCCAAATATAAACACATTCCTTTTTTTACAGTTATCTGACACCTCCTCCTTTCTAAAAACAACCAATTCCTTTTAAAAAAACAAGGATACACATAGAAATAGAGTACTTAAGAGTTGCTATCACTGTGGTCCAGGAGTTTTATTTTAAATTATAATGTCTGACAACTGGACTGCAGAATTAACTTTCTATGTATACACATAATGTGAATTCATAGGTTTGGTTTATTTAATCATACACACACAAACACACACATATGTATTAGGAGCTACCTGTTAACTGAATATAGCTGCTGCTATAATCTCGTGCCAACAAAAATTATTGCTAAAAAATTGACAAGCTCAGAGTCTTCACACAGGTTTCTCTAACGCAAAACACAGACGCTTTTAACAAACTCTTCAGACCAAGTGCATCCTGATGGTAGGAATTAGATTTTCAATGCACTGTTCAGGAAGTTGACTGCACAACTTGTGTTCACAAATCACAGTATCAGAAAGAGCATTTTAATAGTATTTTGAGTGTTTATAACTTAAAGTAGTGAAAAACAGCCTTTGTTGTGGAGCAAGAACAAAATATTACTTTCTACATATATTCATATTTCTCGATTAAAGATAATAAAGTCAGAATAACATTTGACTACTGTCCTTTTACAATAGTCAGAAATTTATGTCAGAATTTAAGTGATGTTGCTCCGCCTTTTACAGATCTGAGTCCATACAGGGAAGACAGATGTTGCAAAAGGAATCAAGTGATTGCTCTTGACAGGGGAGTCAGCTTGAAATACCAGACAAAAATGCAACAGGAGAACTTTGACTTCAGCAGCAGTCTCAGAACATTTTAACTGCAGTCACACTTAGCATCAGAAGAAAAGCACATCATGACAATATTATGCTCGGGACAAATTTAACTTACTTACACCAAGTCTGCATTTGACATTCAGTGTTCTAGTAGACAGCATTTCATTAATCATGTGTATCTAACACCATTGTTGAAGATTCTCAGCTGACATCTATCACCAGTGCATAAAGTACATTTACTTCATCGCTCGCTACAACTTGGAAAACAGCAGACTGGCTTTGCTGATGTTATACAGCTATTTCTGCAGTCTAACTTTTGGACAAACCCCCAAAATTTCATAGCACTGGATCCCAATATACTTACAACCAAGTACTAGCTCATCTTGGAACGACTGGAAAACATTCTTTCAAATAAAGGCACACATTGCTCAGCTACTATTTGTCAGTCTATCAAAAACAAACCAAAAATAAGTCTCTGAAGAATGTACAGAACATTAACAATAGTTTGAATATTGAACACCAGCAACCTCTGGTTTTGCTGCATCTTCTGTTTCTACCATAAGAAAAGGCAAAGCCACACTATCATAACTGCAAAGACTGTTTTCTCTCCCTTCTAACTCCAACTCTGGCAGAAGGTGAATGGCATTTTTGGACTGTGTCAAAGAGGTGAGTAGGGAAGAAGTGAAAATAGCCACTCTGGCTCATTCACTGAACTTGCTATAGGAATGGACAAGAACCACCTTTTCTTAAACACGGTGATCCCCTCAAAAAAACCTGGCATCCAGTAGCTAATCTACAAGCAGCCAAGTTAAACACCTGTATGCCAGACAAAACCAGCTGTCTATGTGTCTCTGCCAACCCATCTGCTCAATATACCTCCTACTAGTGGGCTGAGATCTTTCAGTAAATACACAGTTCAAATACAAGGTTGTGTTTTTTTCCTGTTCTCTAATCTTCCGTAGGACCTCAATTTTCAAAGCACCCATTGATTAACTACAATGATGCTGCTACCTTGATTATGACCAGCAGCTGGACATCAGCTCAGTTTTAACTGACTACTGTAGAAATACAAGTAACACACACACTAAATGATTTACCATTAAACTACTGCCACCTTCATTACCCATAGACACACAAACACTGCGTTGCTCAAACTTTTGCCAAAAGAATTAGAAATTTAGGATAAGATTATGTTTTCAAAATTTTATCTTTCAAAGGATTCAAGAAGGGACACTGTAAGGGACTTAATAGAAAACTCTTTTGGCTGTGTCCAGGATTAAGTTAAAACAGTATCTCATGGAATGAAAATAAAAGTAGGTTGGCTACTATTATAGTGTACATGTATTTCAGAAGGGATTGTGGAGCTGCTGGACTTCAGGAAGGAAAAGGAAAACGTATTGAAGTTGCATTTCATTTCATTTATAGCACCTCCACAGTTACACGTGCAGCTAGCACTAACAATATCAGACGCCGAACCTTTATCCAGGGAAGAAATGCCACTTTACACTTCCTTCTCAGCACAGAGGTTTTCAAATGCATCCTCACAAAATGAAATTTTTCCAACTAATACAAGAAATAAGTGCTTTTATTGCTCACGTTAGTGTAACAGCAGCTGCAGAGAACTCCCAGCAAAGTTCCACAGAAAAAAAGCTTGTGAGAAGTCTCCATTATGAGGCATGAACATGGTTCACCATTTGTTCTAAACACACAATAGTATTTATATTCTCCTCCTTGTGTAAGGATCCACTTTCTCCTTTGTTCCCAGGTCAGTTTCTCCATCTGTTTTGGGAAGTATGTCAACGTTTTTCTGGATGAAGTGGATTTATTTAGAAAGACTATTTATAATAATTTTTCATCTCTTTTATCTCTCATTCTGCTCTTTCCTGTGTTACTATTTTGGAGGAGGAGCAGTGGTTAAATTTGTACCAAAAGAGCACTGTCCAGTTTGTGTCTGAAGAAGAATGACTCTGCAGCCACCTTTGAAATGTTCCTAGCAGCTTTGCTCTCTTTGCTGGGTGCAGGGAAGCTTCCCTCCACGGTGAACTCTTTGTTCACTCTTTGTTCAAATAGACTATCTGTCTGTTTTCAAACTGGTAAAGCTTAACTAGTACTACACGGGATGGGCCTGGCCAGAGAAGCTAACAGAAACCAGCAGGACACTTTCAGCATTGTGTACATTCCCTTTATATGATGTCACTCTTTCTGCTGACTGGGGGCAAAATGCATTTACATGATTTTCTTTTGTAAAATACATAGGCAAAGTACAGAAACAATTTGAAATTTGTTAATTTCAATATCCTTTAATGTATTTTCTTGAGCAAAATACATTGGAAAAGGTAAGATAGAACTACACCCTCACTCCTTTCTCAGCTAGGAAAAGTTGCAGTTGCATGAATTGCAATTTAAATAAAGAACCCTAGCTTTAATTTTAAATAAGATGATGCCAAAAAAGTTTTGGAAGTGCATCACTGTATTACATTGTAAGTTGACACATATTATTTGGTTTCAGTGTAAGTTCTGTTCAGTAAGATAAGTGTTTTTCTTTGGATGAGGTAGTCTAGAATAACAAGCATATTATCAGGAATTTATTACAGTCAGCTCTTCTACTGATAGGGACTCACATGTCTTTCAGCATTCCTGATTCAGTTTCTCCAAATAAATGATGGGGTGTGGGGAAGGAACACTCACATTTTTCTGAAGGCAAAATTTATATGGTATTTTGAAAATTTATATGTATTATTTCATCATTGCATCTCCTTAGCAGAGAATGGGATGCATGTCCCATGGATGCGCACCATCTTTCAGAACTATTAAGTTCTGGATCTTTCCAGAGGGAGAGGAGGAAGGACATTACAATTGCTGGTATAGCTTGTCTTCATAGAATCACTCATGGAAAAGCCAACAATGATTCACTGAGCTCAGTCTTGATCAGAAAATTATAGATAAGAGATTGGGGGATTGAAGTTTTCCTATCTACAGACCTAGTTTTCCAGGCGTCTTGGGGTTTGCTTTGTTTATTGGAGTTTTTTTGGGGGAGAAAAGATGACATCATCTTAAAGCTTGGATTCTATGAAAGCTGGTGCCTTATTTTGGGACCAGCTGCACTATTTCTTACTCTGGCTTCTCTCTCCAAGAATGCCCTACTAAGAAGGGTCACCTCAGGTTCTGGAAGAGGTGATACTGAATGGCTATTTACAACCAACCACGCTCAGAAAAAGTAGCATCAATTTCATGTTCCACCTGGCTCTAAATGCTAACGGTTCAGCAGCTGCACCACACATCAAAAAGGAAGAACAGCAGCCATTCCAGCATGAGCTGTGCCCCATGTGCTAAAACCTGTGCTTTTATATGGATATCTAACCCTGGATACATAATCCTTTCTTTTCTTCCTTTTATTGTTGTTAATTTTACTTAAAAGTATTTGGGGTTAAAAACATATGAATATGTTTTATAGGAAATTATTTACGTTTGTGGTATAGAACTGCATTACTTGCTTAACTATGAATTGATCCCATTAAACTTCAACTTGCAGAACTCTTAAGAGTAAGGCACGTTTGGGAAGTTCTGTTACCTTTAACTACACCAAATCACAGGTAAAAACCAAATTATTTCCAATTTGGACTCAAAAGTAAAACGATATTCTTGAATTCAAGTCCAGAGATGTGATTCTAACCTCCTCTCATCCATCATAAAAGATGTGGGATGGAATGATTCTAAGTAGGAAGATACATCTCAAGCTTCTTTCTATTTTTAAGTACTGTTCACCCTACTTGCTACTGACAGAGTGGCAAGAACTCAAACAGAATATCCACATCAAGGTCAGGGTTCAGCCCTCTCTACTGATTTGTGTGAGAGAATGTGAAGAATTTAATACAGGCTGCAAATTGTTCCATTTCCCTTAATTATTTTCTCTGTGTCAGATACAGTTCTTTGGTGGGTGTTTGTTTTTGCAACCATAGTGATGAGATATATTTGCTGGCTGCAGTCAAAATAATTCCAAACAGTTATCTACTGGCATCATTTTTTATTTAGCAAATCCAGACATTTGCCTGCTTTACACCCAAAGGGTAGTAATTTGGAGACTATACTCCCAAAATAGCTTTTAAATTGTTTTTCTAAATCAGAGCAATAGTTGTTGGGTT